GGTATTTTACACTAGGGTTTCTGTTATGAAGAAAGTATTCTAAGGCTTTGTTCACTTTTCATCACCTTGTTCGATTATAGCAATGTATAGACCTTAACGAAATGATTAATTCTCAGCCCAGTTTTGTTTCACTGAAACTTGAATTGAATCTTACCGTTTGGCTCACATGCTATTCCATCTCCAGTGTAGTCTTTGCGGCACTCGCAGCTGAAGGACCCCGGATTGTTAAAGCAGTGAGCAACTCCATGACAGTTGTGAGTTGAGGTTGCACATTCATCGACATCTACATAATTCCATAAATGTGTTTAAGTCTTGTGACAAGGATAAGTGCCTCACTAAATAAAAGACAGCAAGAAGCAATTGATCTTGCAAATATTTCCTACCAGCACAACTTGTACCATTTCCTTCATATCCTTTGAAGCATGTGCAATTAAAAGATCCGATTGTGTTATTACAAACTGCCCATGGGTCGCAGTTGTGTACATTTGTGGTGCATTCGTTAATATCTATACGAAAAAGAGAAATACGTATTTAAGACTATATAGCTGTCAAACCTAATCTAAAAAAAAAACAAACAAACAAACAAAGGAAAAAATTATTTCTCGTGGCTTATATTCAAAAGAATGGGACATGGATGATGTTTTGTTACTACTGTTGGGGTGTCAGACTGACAGTGATGATTATGAAATGATTCCTAAATTTCCCTAAAGAATGTCGTGAAATCGATCTGCTTCACAGATATCAAAAGCTGTAAGATTACATTTTGAAAATGTCCATATTGCAATGACAGGTATTCTGTCAATAGTATTGTCATTATTTTCAGTTTTATCACTGTTGTCTTTTAATCATTGTTATTATTTTAAGTCTTATCAACATTTCCAGTCGCATGAGTATCTAAGGTCTGTTTTTAACAGTTTCATCGACGAGATGTCAAAGTTTACGAGAACGTTTAGCTAATAATTCATTCAGAATGTTAGCGGCAGAGTTCGTTACGGTGAACCAAAGGTTTGAGCTTCATTATACGTGCCATTGCAAAATCGTCCATCTCCAGAGTATCCAGGTAAACATCTACATACGAATGATCCATATCTATTAGAGCACTTTGCCTCAGGAGCGCAGTCATCCAGTTCTTCCGTACACTCGTTTATGTCTATGGATTGAAAGGTCATTATGAAAACAAATAACAACTTGCATTATATGAAGTGAAACAAGAAGTTCTTGTGATCCAATTTGGAAAATGGCCCTCGTTTGTAACCTTAAAGAAAACATTGACTTAATATTGAAACGAGGAGGCAAGAATGATAAAGAAAATATGACCAGACATCCAAATCTTAAATGCGCTCATTTGTTGAGGCATATGTACACTTTTTCCAGTGCTGATTAGTGAACTTATCCATTTCCTAGATAATTTTCAGAACTTAGAAACATCAGCAAAACTCGTAAAATAACGAGTCTTTTGATTATCCAACAAGGAATTCTTGGTACCATTTTTCTTTTTACTGGCACGCATTATCTTTTTGTATAAGAAGAAATCATTACTGATGAAACGATCTTGTCAGAGTTGGAAAATATGTTTAGCATATCCTATCTAAATCTAGAGTTAAACGTTATTCGGCAAGTTGTAAACGGTTATCGTGGTTTAAAGTGATCTATAATTCACTTTATTTGAGAAAATGGGTACGATACCAAGGTATGCATTTATGTCACAGGAAATATGGGCGTACATGTAGGGAAAAGATTTTGCTGAGCTACCTTTGTATCTTTGAAGACTTATTCATATCTAAAATCCTCGAATAATTTTCCCTTCAAAAGGTACCAGTTTTCGAGAGCGAGCACGATGAAAACTTGGAGCTCCGGAACACACATACTGTCCAAGGAAATGTCTGCGTGCATATTTCGTAGCTTATTAGGAGATATTGACTTGATGATCTTTCAAATAGTTTTCTTTTCTAGAGACAAAATTTCCTCGTCCACAGCTCTTTGGCACGCAGGAAAAAAACGGTTATGCATTCTAAACAACAAAATGATGCAATCCTGTCTTAAATTATACATTTCGTTTGAAGGTTGCGGAAAATGACTTGTCTTTATAACCGGGTATTCCCGGTTTCAGCTGAGACATATTTGAGCACGTGGAGTCGGTCATATACCATACCAAAACAGCTGACACCGTCTCCTGTAAATCCTTGAAGACAAGTGCAATTGAATGAGCCCACAGTATTGTTACAATGCGCCATGTGGTGGCAATTGTGATTCTGCTCTTGACATTCATCCAAATCTGCAAAAATCATATTAGATGATGTAAGCTCCTGTGTGCTTCTGCCCTATATATCCTATCCTATTTTAGTTTTTTTTTTTTTTTTTCTCTGTCAGTCTGCCGAGTCGTACGTCCTACCATATGTCCGTCCTTGAGAGTATGGAGATCGTAATTCTTCGTACATTTTAGTGCGCGTATGCGTGTGTTTCCTTACACGACTAGTAAGCTGTTAGACAAATTTGCGCATTTATTGTATCACATATGTTTTCCTATTGGTATAAAGTTCCTTTTTTTTCGGGAAAATTTTTCTATAAAGGCAGAAAAGCGTACGCGATGTGACCGAAAGGATCACGAGCCAAGTGGCTAGCACAACCCGAGCTATCTCGCTTTCCCCAGCATGTTGTTTGATAAAAGTTGGTCGGAGCTGATGGTGCTTTGGCCCGCGGGAAGGAGAACCCGTGAATCTTTGTCTTGAACTTATCATCCTGCCTCTGGATGTTGTGAGGACAGTTTCCATCGGGGAATGTTGGAGAATGGGAGATTACAACGGTTACCGGTTACCTCGCCACCAGGCAGACTCGCCACCAGCGAACTAGCCACCAAGGAACGATCTCGCCACCAACGTACTCGCCACCAAGCGAAGTCTTCTCGCCACCAACCACCAATAAAGAGATAAACTAGAATAAAGTAGTCGAGGAGAGTAGGATGTTCGAACGAGCACAATTCAAATCGGCCGATACGTTTGTGCGCTTGTCTGTATTTAAATTATGACCTTCAGCGACGTGTTAGATGTGTTCCGTTCCTAACTCATTGACATCAAAACGTATCGTGTTTGTCTTTTGCACGTAAGCGAGGAGAAATTGCAAAACTCGATGCGAGGAATAAAAACTTACTTCGGTTTCGAACGTGCTATCGACAACATACATTTATAAAGTTTGAGTACAGACAAGCAAACAAACTTATCGGTTTCGAACGTGCTTTCGACAACATACGTTTATAAAGTTTGAGTACAGACAAGCGAACAAACTTATCGGTTTCGAACGTGCTTTCGACAACATGCGTTTATAAAGTTTGAGTACAGACAAGCGATCAAACTTATCGGTTTCGAACGTGCTTTCGACAACATACGTTTATAAAGTTTGAGTACAGACAAGCGAACAAACTTATCAGCCGAACATCCTAATCTCCTCGACTAATCTCTTTATTGGTGGTTGGTGGCGAGAAGACTTCGCTTGGTGGCGAGTACGTTGGTGGCGAGATCGTTCCTTGGTGGCGAGTTCGCTGGTGGCGAGTCTGCTTGGTGGCGAGGTAACTGGATACCATTACAACTGCATATGAGGCTTAACGTCATTTTTGGATGGGCTTCATTCGGGATGCGGCTTGGTGACGACTTCACATGAAAGCTTATGTCCTACCATTAAAATTACCTGAACAACCGAACAGCTCCACCCTCATGGCAATTTCCTCGTTCCAGTCAATTGGACGAAATCGGACGTAACGTCCCACGATGGAGGGATTTAAATCGTGGTAAACTATTGAATACCTGTTAATATTTCCATCAAAAGCCTTGATGTATCCAAAAAAAAAAAGGAAAAGAATCTGCTGATTTCTTGGATCGAGAAAGTTATGATAATTAAATCTCACTGACTTTTTAAAAATTGTAAGTCAGAATTTAAAGTGAAAAACAACTAACGAGAAGTTGGTAGTTCTAGGTCAGCTTGGGACGGAAGTTTAAAAAGTAAAATCGTTGAGGTGGGAAAAGTATTAAATTTTCATGCTAGATGTTCGTCTGGAAAGGTAAAGATTTTGAATTTTAATTTTCCTTCTTCTGATGACATACCTAATTGGCCGCGCTCCCCGGCCACTACAAAAGGTTTTTAAGAATACTTCAAAATGTTTTATACAGATGTTCAATAACTATGCATGCATTGAAACAATAAAAGCAGAACAAAACAGCCAAATTCCTGATATATACGATGCACTCTACATGTTTTTTTTTGCAATACTGTCTTCTTTTATGGAAAAAAGAAGCCTCGTCAGTACTTTAATATCAGGAAACTGTGATGTTGCGTCGGTGGGAGGGTTTAACATGGTAATTTCCTCTGAACGAAGTGAGCGGTAGTCCTTTGCTCTGACTAAGGGCTAACGCTCGACACGTCGAGTTTGAATCTTTTTACGGCGGCCAATTTACGTTGTCAGCTCAGTTGATAATACTAACTTACCCTGTAATACTCTAATATACCTTTTTTACTGCCGGTTCCATGTAATAATGGAAGTTAATTTCGTCGTTACTATATTGTAGATTGTAGCTAGTAACCCATTTTTTCTTCTTGAAATCATTCAGTCCTTGTGTGGCAATTCTCGTTACGATGGTATCTTTTTCTAGCAAATCAATCTGAAGCCATTGGTCGGCATTGTTCACGAGAGGCAGCCAAGTTCCCTCTGAAGCTTTCAGTCTGGCCTTATTCGCCGCGTGAGCTGCTTTCAGCTCTGAAGAGGCACTTATTTGTCCGTCAGAAATGACACCGTTTTCCATACCAAAAGGGTCTTGACATTCTTTGAATTTTCAGATAATAAACAGAAAGTTTTAATTTAGAGTATATAATCAACTGCCTTCCTTGCCAAAACTGAGTTAAACACAATAATTTTCAAAATTTGATGGGACACAAGATAAATTATGAATTACGAACTGCACGTCAATCAAAGCAATACTCATTATCAACAAGTTAAATTCATCTTTACCTAAACAGCCGTACAGCTCTACTCGCATTGTTATCCACCCATACCAGGCTGTCGGTCGGAAACGGATGTATCTTGCTCTAATTGGTGGAAAGAGGTCATGGTACACAACAGTGTCTTTGTCTGTGTTTCCAACGAAATTCTAAAATGAGATCAACACACTGAGAGACGTAAACCTCCTACCTATGTTGCATGCACTGCATTCTTCAACCTTGGGCTGTCTCAAGTATTTAAGTCAAATTTAAATCCACCGTTTTAAAATAGTCCGCAAAAGCCGTTAGTGCTATTATCCGCTCGACATGAAATTTGGCAGTTGTTTGATGTCAGCCTTTATCAGAGATCATGACTAACTTCTTAAATTTAACAACATATTTTTGTTATCATCACTTAAACTACTCTCCGTCTTTGAAAGACGAAAATATCCATACAACATAAAAGACTTAATTCTCCTATGAAATTGAGAGTTAACACTTTTTGAAGATTATTTAGACTCTATTCCGAACGACAGTTAAGATCAAAGTGTGCTGAGAGCGAACTTCCGATTCAAGTCACGTGATTTGTTACGTGATACAATGAAAGAAAGGGACAAATCGTATGAAAAAGCCCATTTTAACACTGTCGTTTTCAGAAAAGGATAATCATTAAAGAAATGTCAAACCAATCTCACCACCTGTAGAGGTTCGAGTGGAAATGTTTTCTTTTACATGGTATACTGACTAATGTCCCCTTATGAAAGGCCAAAACAAGCCCTAAACATCTCTTGTAATGTTAGATTATCCCCGGATTTAAATCATGGAGATTCGAGCCAGCTAGAATTCTCTACTCTGCTTCAGATATAATTATCTTATTTGTAAGTTTAATTTTTCCGCTGTAATTTTAATTAGACTTCTTTAACTTATTTATTCCCCACAGTTGGAAGCTGTGGAAAATGATCAGCACAGACTTTGGTGCTTATTCACTAGAGTAACTCAGTAGTTCCTCTTAATTTAAGCTGAATTTTATACTTTCGAATTGATCGCTTAACGAAGTGCATGGTTTGACTCTTACAGTGTATTTTTTTTTTAGATATCCCATTTAATAGAGATGGATTATTGATGAAAACTAATTTAGATAAGTATCAAACCTTCGCCTCCACATGTCCACGTTCTTTATAAATATGGAACTTTACTCCATCGTTGCTGTAAGTTAGATTATAGCTGGTCACCCAGTTCAACGTAGTTTGGCCGTTTCGTCCTTGCGTTGCAACCCTTGTTATTTTAACGTATGGATTAATCAGCTCTATCTGGAGCCACTGGTTTTCATCATTTGTGAGAGCCACCCAAGCCCCTGCTTTGTAACCTGATTGTTTAAAGTGAAGTCTACCATTATGAGCAGCTTCATTGTGATCCCATTGAGAAGAGGCACTAATTTGCTCGTTGGCGATGGCTTTGCTCTCCATTCCTTGAGCTTCTGCACATTCTAAGTAGCATTAATGTTTTGTATTAACACAAATATCATGATTCTATCGCAATAGCTACTTCAAGTCAATCTAAAGCGAGCTCTATTTTTTTCGTTTGTCAAATATTCTTATACCCCATGGTTTTATTCTATTTCATTACATCATATTGACATCATGTGCACCAAGTTTTTACCGAATCAATGAAAACTATGTAAAAAGCATTGAATACGGAAAGCTCTTTCACGTAGATGTGATGGTGTGTTCGGTTTGTAAGAGAAACAAAGGAGTCGGAAGGTTAATTAATAAAACAGCGATGAAATTACCGAGAATTCGGAAAAGTTTTTAGATTATTTGCAAGCAAAATCGAAAAATCTCCTCGACGACCTCAGTTATAAGTTCAATTTCCAACTCAAGAACAACCCCGTCTCAGAAGTCATTTAATTGATTTTGAATTTTTACCATCATCACTCACTCAGCTTCTCCGGAAAATAAACAACAGTTTTACCAAAAGAAACATAGAAATCGTAGCCTTTTGGCGCAAACTCCAGTGACACCAAACGATATGAATTAGATCTGATTCGTTTACGTTTTAACGTTGGGGGTAAATGTAAGCTGCTTTAAAGCTTCTGTACATTTTACGAGTAATTAATTGCCACCGTGCTTAGGCCGAAAAAAAAAGTTCTACCACCCTTTTCCTTATTGTAAGCTCATTAATAGATAGCAAACTTACTAACGGATCCGTAAACCTCAACTCTGAGGCAGATTTGACCTTTCCAAGTAACTGGAAGAAAACGAATGTATCTTGCATAAACTGGAACTTCCAATGGATGTTGATTAATTGTGTTGGATCCACCTTCCCTGCGAAATTTCTAACAAAATGAGAAAATTTGATGAGGTGACATATTCTTTCTACCGAAAAATGGATTTTGATGACGATAAAAATTTCAGACAACTACAAGGGACAACTATGGAACTGCCTTTTTCCCAAGTTATTGTCGAAGTTGAGAGGAAGTACATCGATGATCGCACCCTTTCTGACAGACGATGCAGTTTTTATTATGCTGCTTTGGCAGTACATTTATCGCTCTAACTGAACAAGGGACCAAAATCTCACGATTTTCCCTACCATTAGGATTCTAACGTGTAATAGTAAGCAACACACCAGACATTTTATCAGAAGAAAACAAAACCTCCTCAATCCCAGAAAAAACTACGAAAACGACTTCTTTCGATGAAGCACCCCTTCGCCTATCTGCTTGTATCACGACGAACGGTAACGCCATTCCTGTGAGTTCAGTACATAAACCGAACAATGAAGTAGGTGTGCAACTCTCGTAAATCCTACAACCAAGCAATTTCCGTCACCTACATACCGATGATAGGCGACGAAATTTACTGTCGAAATTGAAGAGAAAGACGAACTCAGTCGTAGACAAAGAGCGGGTTAAAATATCAAATGCTCTGACCGTGAAGCCATCTAGATCATAGAGACACAAGGCTGTCTGACATCAAGCCGACTGGGAGCTGGTCATTATGTTGGTTCGTATTTAACCCGTTTGTTTGCTCAGTCGGCAGCGCACTGCATCGGTATCGCAAAGGTCATCCCGCACAGTCCTGAATTTTATTTTTCGGGCCTTATTTTTACTACTGCTTAAGTAGCGTTCTTTGTTGAGAAGATCGCTTTCATATTCATTTAGAGTTAATCCTGCGTTCAAACTGTGTACTTGAAGATCTTATTGTACACCATCATAAAACGATAAATTTTCCGGTATTAAAACAAAACAACATTTTGGCGCAAATCGTACCACTTCTAAGTCGTTAGCATCCTTATATGTTGGCCAACGGCCCTCAAAAGATTTAGAGAGCGCTAGTTTAAATTCCATCACCCATTCATTGCCATTGATGTCTCCTTGGGTTGCAACAGCGCACACTTCAATAATTTTCCCGAGATCAACTTGAAGCCACTGGTTTTCATCATTTTTTTCGGCGCACCATCCATCGCCTCTGGTACCGTTCAGACGTCCATATGATGGTAGGGTTTTGAAACCGTGGCTTGAATCATGACTTTTTGCCCTCATGAAGCTGTCAAGGATGATACTTGAATTGGAAACTCCAACAGCTTTACTGAAGCAGTCATCAAAGGCTTCTGCGTTCCAAAAATTTGCATATTTCGGTAAATTTTTGCCTTCCATATCACAGTTTATTCTTAACATAATACGCACGACATTTCGTAAGAAATTACAATACAAAAACTGTGAGAAATCTATTTTAGAACCATTAATTTATTTCTCGCATGAAGACATTATTTTTATGCTTGCCAATGGGTTAATATAGTGCGCGGAATCATAAAGAGGCCAGCTGGGCTGCTATCTATATTCCCCATTTCACATCTTGTTGTTTTCTCGGAAAAGTAACCTATTTTGGCGCTTATGTTTTCTTTGCAATTGATTCACTCAAACCTATTGGGAAAAAATCGCGACAAAAACAAAAACAACTGTCTGTTGGTAATACCAATTTAGGTTTAGGCTGAGCATCTCAAAATGTACTCTTTGACCGAGGGATATTCTGTTTTGTCGAGAATTTCTAATGATACACTCAACCGTTCAATAGGGTGAAAAAGAGAAGAAATTGCTGAATAAGAGAAAAACAGCAGTAAAGGATAAAGAAATTTAATTCATTTGTTTGAAAAATATTCGATATCGCTGTCGCTCTCTCACTGGTCGATAAACATGTCTTTACGTCACACGCTCTGCGTTTCTCGGCAAAGCTCATACCCATTTCAAAGTTATTGCAAGATTAATAACGTGAATTCATAAACATTTCAAAGTTATTGCAAGATTAATAACGTGAATTCATAAACATTTCAAAGTTATTGCAAGATTCGTAATGTGAATTCTACAACAATTTAAAGTAAATGGAGAAGATTTTCAAGTCCTGGCATTTCTGACTCTAGACATTTCTAACTCGAGTGCCTGAGACTCGACGATGTATGGATTAATTGGCAGATGAAATATTGCGCTTACGGAAAACAGAATGGCACAGCTAAATAAAAGTATATTTTTTTGTTCGTTATCAAGATGAAACGGCAAACGCTTACGATTCTACTGTCTCATTGCATAAAATATCTCCTAAAAAGCTCTTTGATACCAGACAAGAAAATTACGTTTCCATGGCTTTAACCTCGATTACACCCTAAAAGGTGCCTTCTTCATTTAGACATCAAAGTTTCCTTGCGTACAAAATCCCACGAGTTAAACATACCTCCACTCGCTAAGCCTCTGATAATTACCACGATCAAGACTTGAACCTATAAGGCGAACGGATACATGTTTTTTGAAGGTTAAAAAACAGTTTTATCTCAGTACAGCAGAAGTACATGGAAGACATATATAAAGGTCGGCAGGTTCACCTGTAGAAAAATTAAAGGCCTCTGAAACTTCATTTCGTCGCTATTTCATCCGAAACCGAGAAAAAGAATTTTTGTTATGTTGATATTATTTACAGAACTCTCCTGATCTCAATTTTTACCGACAGGTTTCATTCCCCGCTGAGATTGCATTTAAGAAAAAAAAAACAATCAATGAGTGTTAAAATCAATTTCGCAATGGCCACGAAAAGGCATGTTCTAGAAATATTAATAATTGAAGTAGGAAAAATGCGTAAATTCTTAATCACGCCTAAGTTCGAAAAATGAATCATCCTGAAGAATAAAAAGAGTTTTATCTATTTTTCGGGAATATTGGTCAAATACATATTAAGATTGCGAAATTTTAGGTGTAAACAGGAGCTTCCAGCGTAAACAAAATATTGCATTTGCGGTTTCTGCTAAACATAACACAGTATAAATATAAACTTCTTAGAGACACAGGTACTTTGGATCTATACCGACAATAGTGATAGCAGGGGTTAATTAGGAGCTTGTGTTGACACTTTCAATCAACAGAGTCTCCCTTTCTTAAAGGAATTATTAAGATGTAGCTTTTAATTCTTGAAATCAAATGCTGTCTAGTTGTGTTCTTGCTTATGTTCTTTTACTCTTAACCAATTTTTCCTCGTAAATGGTCATTATAGTTTTCGCTGTTCTACATCTTCACATTTCGATTGTTGTACACAAATTAATATTTTGGCGAGCCTCTGCCTGAATAGCCTCTAATGAAGGGACTGTGTCACGCTGTGTTTTTGTACCCTGTGGCTCCAGTTTGACACTTAAAAGGTGTCAAACTGCTATTGTTCCTCAAAGTAAATTAACGAGAAGCAGAGTGCGAATCAGCAAAGGTCAACGAGCACAGAGTGTGCAGACCGACTGATACAGGAGTGAGGAAGTGGGGACACGAGACCAATCGAAAGACTTCTTTGTTTATTTCATAACCGAGTCTAACCCTTACTATCTTTACAATTTAACCTACAGAAACGTTGATAACCTCTATTTATTTTTTAGGGAGAACACTCCACTATGAATATGAAATAAGTTAGGTATTCCATCAAGCTGAATTAAAGTCATCTTAACTACCTGTCCGTACAAACCTTGTTCTTAGAGTGCTTTTATACGTATGTATTTGTTACTGAGATAATCAGACAGGCTGACCCAGTTCGGCTCAAAACTAGTTTAGATGGGGGGTTGTATAAACAATGACAAGGCCAAGACCACAACACCGTTAGTTACGTTCCCTACTCTTCGAAAGAAGCGCGGGAGTTCTTTAACGTCCCCTGCTAACCAATACAGAGGAGATGCAGGAGACGGAGTCTACGGTTTATCATACTCATCCGAGAAGGCTAGAATGTCTAACCATTTTCCGATGTCATGGCAGAAGAAGCGCGTTTTCCTCAGTTATTTAACGACCCTGAGTGTTTGTCTGATCTGGAGCTTGAACCCTCGACCTTCCCGTAAGGCAGTGCGACTCTCTACCACATGAATCAGCCAAGTGCGTTTCTTTTTTTTATCATGTATTTCTTTTATTTCTAATCTTCCAAATAAATATTGGGCAAAACTTAATTTAGGA